TACACAGTGGGAGAGGTTTACATGGGTACGTACACAGTGGGAGAGGTTTACATGGGTACGTACACAGTGGGAGAGGATTACATGGGTACGTACACAGTGGGAGAGGTTTACATGGGTACGTACACAGTGGGAGAGGCTTACATGGGTACGTACACAGTGGGAGAGGATTACATGGGTACGTACACAGTGGGAGAGGCTTACATGGGTACGTACACAGTGGGAGAGGATTACATGGGTACGTACACAGTGGGAGAGGTTTACATGGGTACGTACACAGTGGGAGAGGCTTACATGGGTACGTACACAGTGGGAGAGGCTTACATGGGTACGTACACAGTGGGAGAGGATTACATGGATGATCACACGAAACCAACTCCCCGGCTTCCTTAACTAATCATCACTCCCGGAACAATTCTCGCGACCTCCCAAGCTAATCATCATACGATCCGATAATCTCGTTACGGCCAGGCTACCCCGCCCCCCCCCCTCCCCCCTTTCTAAATCATTGCTTGGTAAGATTGTGCTGTGGATTCCATACACGGGGATTCACAATTTAGGTGTTGCTGCCTAGTACCTGTCCAATACCTTTTAACACAAGGACACGAGAATGGAGGAAACTGCAGTGGGCCTATTGGCCCATACTGGGCAGTCCCATTTACACCCAACCCCTATTGCTCATATATCCATCCAGCTTATGTTTGAAGTTATCCAGCGTATTCGAGCTAATGATGATATATGGTAACTTGTTCCACTCGTCCTATTTTTATTTTTACCACAAAAAGCTCTGTCCACGTACCGTACCTGGGAATCGCCAACAATTACGGTTTTCGTACCTTCCTTGTCAGCCTTGTCCCTGATTATGCTAGCGTCCAATTCGTCTATTAAAGGACTGAAAGAGTTTGTACACATAGCCGTTGTTCTCGTATCCTTGGTGTGTTTTTTCACCACCAGTTTGGTCGTCCCTCTCCTCACAACCTTCCATTCGCCTGAGTTTTCGTCAGACTCGGGCTTTCCTTGTCTCGTTTCTTCCTCCATCCTCGCTATCACTTCCTTTAATTTCAAGATTTCTTCCTTGGCCCTCTCTAACTCGGCCCTCAGAAGGGCACAGCCCTGTTCACAAGTAGCACTAGTACCTGTTCAATACCTGTTAAGTACCTGCCTAATATCTGTTCAATACCTGCCAGTACCTGCTCAATATCTTCTCATTACCTTTCTCCGTAAGGGTAAGTCTCCTATTAGTGAGGCGTTATCAGTGTTATGTGAGTGTTGAATACGTTACTAGTGTTGTTTTGAAAACGTTACTAGTCATATTTTGAAGATGTTACCAGTGTTATGTGAGTGTCGAAAACGTTACCACAAGCCAATGTTACGTGGATGTTAAAGGCGTTACCAGCGTTGTGTTGGTGAGAACACTTGTGTTCTCCAGGTCACGTATCGCCCGGGTTAGCTAACTTTCTGGGAAGGTTAGGCTGAGACCTCGCCATTGTGAGTATGAGAACGTGACTTGAATACCCAGGGGTTCTTACTGATGGTGGGTGGCTGTTGGGTACTCTTGGTGTCACTCAGAGGTCCTGTGTTACCTCCTCTTGGTGTCACTCGTAGGTCCTGTGTTACCTCCTCTTGGTGTCACTCAGAGGTCTTGTGTTACTTCCTCTTGGTGTCACTCAGAGGTCCTGTGTTACCTCCTCTTGGTGTCACTCAGAGGTCCTGTGTTACCTCCTCTTGGTGTCACTCAGAGGTCTTGTGTTACCTCCTCTTGGTGTCACTCAGTGGTCCTGTGTTACCTCCTCTTGGTGTCACTCAGAGGTCCTGTGTTACCTCCTCTTGGTGTCACTCAGTGGTCCTGTGTTACCTCCTCTTGGTGTCACTCAGAGGTCTTGTGTTACTTCCTCTTGGTGTCACTCAGAGGTCCTGTGTTACCTCCTCTTGGTGTCACTCAGAGGTCCTGTGTTACCTCCTCTTAGTGTCACTCAGTGGTCCGGTGTCTTATAGTGGGGTCTTGAGGCCATATAGTGTGGTCCTGGGGTCATGTAATGGGGGCTTGGATCTTGAGGTCATATAATGGGGTCTTCGGGGCCATATAGTGTGGTTTTGTGGTCTTATAGTGGGGTCTTGGGGTCATTTATGGGGTCTTGAGCCTAAAACCTATTGCAATGTTACCTATGATCCCTTGAATATATACTGTACGTACACACACACACACACACACACACACACACAGCATTATCGTGTGCCAACTTTTGACACTTTAACATGACACACCCCTCTCCTCCCCTTCTTCCCCCTCTTAATCACTGGGGGAGGGAGGGGGGGGGTGATACATGACACTCCTCGTGAACTCCGGAGGGGATTACACACACGTCTGTTCACGTCATAGGCCAGGGTGTTGAGTGGCTGCTACAAGAGGTCACGTCACTACTCACATCACTAATCACGCCACTATTCTCACCCCCTCCAGACACCATCGACCTGGCGGGATATCACCAAGTTAACACCTCCTAACACACGTCCACTTGGGTTATTACCTGGTGATTAGTTTACCTGGGTGTTACCTGGGTGTGAGGGTTTACATTAAATTCGGTATTGGTCTAAATGTTCGATAGATTAAGTGTTGATATTAGTCTCAGGTAGGTGTACAAGGTAGAGACATGGGCCAGGTAGGTGTACAAGGTAGAGACATGGGCCAGGTAGGTGTACAAGGTAAAGACATGGGCCAGGTAGGTGTACAAGGTAGAGACATGGGCCAGGTAGGTGTACAAGGTAAAGACATGGGCCAGGTAGGTGTACAAGGTAAAGACATGGGCCAGGTAGGTGTACAAGGTAGAGACATGGGCCAGGTAGGTGTACAAGGTAGAGACATGGGCCAGGTAGATGTACAAGGTAAAGACATGGGCCAGGTAGGTGTACAAGGGCCAAGTACACGTGACAGAACATAAGAACATAAGTCCCTCGATCATCCCTCACGGAAACATTCATACAGACACGAGAGAATGTTAAGGGGAAATTTAATTAGGCAGCTTTGATGTGAGGTTAATTATCCCCTGGCTGGACAATGGTGACAGGTGAGGGATGAGGGGAGGCAGTGGTGAGGCAAGGGGAGGTGGGGGTGGAGGTGAGAGGAGGTGGGGATTTGTTTTTTTTCTATAACGATCATGTGTGTGTGTGTGTGTGTGTGTGACATGGCCAGTCCAGCGTAGTTGTTCGTGAATAATGGAGCCGCATGGATGACAGTATACTGCTAAAGCGGCTACTATACAGTCACCTAACGAATAGTAAACGTAATGCTGGTGGGCAACTGAAGAGGTATAAGGATAATCTTAAAACAAACCTGAAAACGTGCCAAATCGACTCCCTCACCTGGGAGACGATTACTCCACACCGTAACGCATGGGGGGGACACCATACAAAGTGTCAATACTTTCGATTTTGCCCGACTGCACAACGTGGCAGACAAGCGCCAACGCCGGAAAGACGCTGCCGCCGCCCCTCCCGCACTACAGTAGATGTAGCCCCCCACATGTTCAACTTCTGTGATCGACCCTGCCGGTACCGTATCGGCTTCTTTAGTCACCTCAGAACTCACCAACCTAGGTGACTTCCTTAATAGCTCATATCATAACTGGATGATCGTCATACTCGATTCCGAGTGACAGCAAAGTAGTAGTAGTAGTAGTAGTAATAATAATAATAATAATAATAATATTAATAATAATAATAATAATAATAATAATAATAATAATAATAATAATTTTAATATTAATAATAATTAACGGTTTATCGAAAAAGTTCAGCAGCCCGAAGGCAGAAAATATACATTGGACAAAAATGACTTATTACATACAAAGACATGGGGTGGGTGGGTCGTTTAACAAAAGCTTTCATTACTGAAAGAAGAGGGAACATGAATTGAACATACAAATTATTATAGTTTACAGTTGATGGGTCGGGCCTGGACTGGTCATGGAGACACCACGTGGTGTGGTGTTCACGTGGTGTAGTACCTCGTCCTCGGGTGTTGATATGAAGGACCTCACGTGGTCATGGAGACACCGGGTGGTGTGATGTTCACGTGGTGCAATAACTCGTCCTCGGGTGTTAATATGAAGTAGTATGTGTGTGTGCGTGTGTGTGCGCGTGTGTGTGCCTCGGAGGATATACACTATACAGTATGTATCTCCTATTCAGTAATACATTGGACATATTTCATTCAATTTCATGTAATAGGTTCATCATCACCTTGAAATTCCCATTAAGTGTTGAGTAATTCCTTAGTTTTAAAGGGTAATTGGTGATAACTTTTATATTCGTCTCGTAGTGAAGTGTTACTATTTGACTTGTAATTTTAGTAGTGGAGATTAACACTGTAGATGGTGGTGACCAGGATTAAAGTACTGGTAGAGTGAAGTACTAATCCCTTTTGGAGTGTTTTGTAGGCACTTGTGGTGTATTGGAGGAGGAGCACCGCTTACCAACAGCTATGTAGTGTGTTGGAGGAGGAGCACCACTAACCAACAGCTATGTAGAGTGTTGGAGGAGGAGCACCACTAACCAACAGCTATGTAGAGTGTTGGAGGAGGAGCACCACTAACCAATCTAACCAATAGCTATGTAGAGTGTTGGAGGAGGAGCACCACTAACCAACAGCTATGTAGAGTGTTGGAGGAGGAGCACCACTAACCAACAGCTATGTAGAGTGTTGGAGGAGGAGCACCACTAACCAACAGCTATGTAGAGTGTTGGAGGAGGAGCACCACTAACCAACAGCTATGTAGAGTGTTGGAGGAGGAGCACCACTAACCAACAGCTATGTAGAGTGTTGGAGAAGGAGCACCACTAACCAACAGCTATGTAGAGTGTTGGAGGAGGAGCACCACTAACCAACAGCTATGTAGAGTGTTAGAGGAGGAGCACCACTACGTAGTGTTGGAGCAGCACTAGCTAGGAGCTTGTATACAGTAGTGCCACAGTAACAGTAGCCTGGTCTCTCCCTCTCCCCGTAGGACACCCGCACAAAGCACAAGTTCCGGACGCAGACATATGGGTCGCCCACCTTCTGTGACCACTGCGGCTCCCTCCTCTACGGCATCATCCACCAGGGGATGCGCTGCGAAGGTAAGTGCTCTTGCTGCTCCCGTCTCACTCCTTCGTGATGACTTCGTACCTCCACCTGCATGTTGTACAGTTGTCCTTCACGAGCTGCCTTCATTAGTCCTTCCTCCTGTTGCTTTGACGTAATAATCTCTGATTTAGTTTATGTTGTGGAGGCAACCAAACTGGATTGGAGCCCAGGACTAATGAACCCCCAACCTAATAGAACCCAATCCAAATGTTGTCCAATCCTAACGGTTAGGTTAGGTTTGGTTGGGGCCTGTTAGGACTGGGACCTATTTGAGTTGCTATCACAAATACACTGTTCAGAGTTTACGTTCCTTTGGTGGAGTACCCGAGGGTAAGTAGTAGTGTTCTCAGTGTTTGTGTGACATTGTGTGGTGTTGATACTGTGGAGGCATCAGAGGTGAGTACTGGGGCTTATTATTTTAATTAAGGAACGAATCTTAGTTAATTATAGGATACACTTTGATATATGTTGTTGGGTTAACTTGTTTTTTGTGTTTTATTATTAGTAGTACTAAATTATTGTCCTTATTATTATATTTTATTTATTTATTGTTGTTAATACTATTTTTTTTAGTTCTTGTTCGTGTTTTTATTTGTATTTACTGTATGTATGTATGAGAGAGAGAGAGAGAGAGAGAGAGAGAGAGAGAGAGAGAGAGAGAGAGAGAGAGATGCCTATTTCACACATCTTGGCACCACACTTGAGTCTGTTTGTGCTGTATGTTAGATGTGTCTGGTCAGTAAACACCGAGACACGCCTGCCTTCCCTGGAGCCACGGTGATGATTGTTTACCTCTGTGATGTATACTGTACCTCCCTAAACATCAAGCTCTCTCATGTCCTCCTTCTCTTTTACGTCTTCCTTAACTTTTATTCTTCGTCCCTTTCTTCTCCTCTAACTTTTTGATTCTCCTGCTCTTCTTCCTCTCTTCTCTTCCTGTTCCTCCACCCTTCTCTTCCTTCTCCATCTGCTCTTCTTCCTCCCTTCTCCATTTCCTCTTCCTCCCACTTCATCTACTCTTTCTCCTCCTCCTCCCATCTCCTCTCCTCTTTCTCCTCCTCCTATCATTTCCTCTCCTCCTCCCCCCCCCACCCTCCTCTTCGTCCTATTTCCTCTCTTCTTCTTCCTCACTTTTTACACCCATGGGCTTGGAACCTACCACACTCTACCACACTCTACCACACTCTTTACACTCCTTTTATAAGTGTGTCATAAGGGTGGAAAGAGAAGACGTGACGTGATGAATGGGATGATGTGTAGCGTGAGTGTTGCAGACCTTGAGTAGAGAGGGTGAGTGTAGGGAGAGGAGACCATTGTGGCCATTCTTCTTCTTCCTTTTCCTCTTCCTCCTCCTATTTTTGGCTCAGCTGTATCTATTAACACCTCTCTCTCTCTCTCTCTCTCTCTCTCACCTGCACCCCACATGTCTCCCCCTCCCCTCCTACCCTGCACCCCGTGTCCCCCCCCTCCCCCCTCCCCCACTCCCACTCCTGCCTCCCCTTTCCCCTTTGGGTCCCCCCTCTCTCTCCCCTGCCCCCTCCACCCTCACCACCTGCACCCCCTTCCACATGTCTCCTCCCCCTCCCCTCACTCACTCCTGCACCCTTACACGTGCCTGTCCTCTCCCTCACTCACAGTGCACCCCCCTTACACCTCTCTCTCTGACTGCACCTTACACAGTCCCCTCCTCTCCCTCACTCACACCTGCACCCCTTACACTCCCCCCCCTCTCCCCTCACACACACCTCCCCACTCACACCGCACCCCCACACATCTCCTCCCCCTCTCCCCCTCACTCCCACCTGCACCCCTTACACGTGTCTGCCCCCTCTCCCTCACTCACACTACCTGCACCCCTGCACGTGTCTCCCCCTCTCCCCTCACTCACACCTACACACCCTCCCTGCACCCCTTACACGTGTCTCCTCCCCTCTCCCCCACTCACACCTACACCCTTCTTACGTGCCTCCCCTCCTCTCCTCACCACACCTGCACCCCTTACGCGTGTCCCCCTCTCCCCCACCCCCTCTCCCTCACCCACACCTACACTAGCCTCCCTCCCTCCCCTCACTCCACCTCCCACGTGTCCTCCTCCTCTCTCCCCCACTCACACCTGCACCCCCACGTGTCCCCTCCCCCCCCCCCTCTCCCCCTCACCACACCCACACCCTTACACGTGTTCCCTCTCCCCACTCACACCTTACCCCCCACACGTGCCCCCCCTCTCCCCCTCACCACACCTGACCCCCCACATGTGTCCCCTCCCTCACTCCACACCTACACCTCACACGTGTCTCTCCCTCACTCACACCTACACCTCTTACGTGTCTCCCCCCTCCCCTCACTCACACACCCCTTACACGTGTCTCCTCCCCCTCTCTCCCCTCACTCACACCCCTTACGCGTGTCCCCCTCTCCCTCACCCCCCCTCACCACACCTACACCTCTTACACGTCTCCCTCCCCTCTGTCACCTCCCCTCTCTCCCTCACTCACACCTGCACCCCTACGTGTCCCCTCTCCCCTCACCCCTCACCCCTCACACCCCTACACCCCTTACACGTGTCTCCCTCCCCCTCTCCCCTCCCACCTCACACCCCTCTACGTCCCCCCCTCTCCCCCTCACCCCTCCCCTCACCTCACACCTGCACCCCTCTACACGTGTCTCCCTCCCTCTCTCCCTCACCTCCACACCCTACACCCCACCTTACACGTGTCTCCCCTCCCCTCTCCTCCCCCCCTCACCTCACACCCACACCCTCTTACACGTGTCCCCTCTCCCCTCACCCCCTCTCCCCTCACCCACACCTACACCTCTTACCTACACTCCCACTCCCTCCCCTCTCCTCACCCACACCTACACCCCTTACACGTCTCCTCCCCCTCTCCCTCACTCACACCTGCACCCCTTACGCGTGTCCCCCTCTCTCCCCTCACCCCTCTCCTCACCCACACCTACACCTCTTACACGTGTCTCCTCCCCTCTCTCCCACACCTTACCTCTTACACGTGTCTCCCTCCTCACCCACACCTACACCCCCTTACACTGCCCCTCTCCCTACACCCAGTACATCTCCCTCTCTTCTTACACGTGTCTCCCCCCCTCTCCCCTCACCACACATACCTCTTACACGTGTGTCCCACTCACCTACCTTACACGTGTCCCTCTCTCCCCCACCCCACACCCCTCACTCACCCCCTTTACACGTCTCCTCCCTCACCCACCTATACCCCTTACACGTGTCTCCCCCCCCTCTCTCCCCTCACTCACACCTACACCCCTTACACGTGTCTCATATCTCCCCCCACATCACCTCAAGACACTAGGTGGTAGTTGTAGTGTTGTGTCTTGTTCACCTGTAATTTACATATGATTACAGTGTAGCAGCAGGTACCACGCCCTCTTCTTCCCCTCCTTCAGGAAAGTTCTCATATGTCTTAAAAACAACCCCATACTTATTATATATTATCCTGGATGCCTCATAAAAATATACAATAACGCCTTACTGTTATTTAGTGGGGGTCGTGTGAATGTTTGTAATAACAGAGTAATATTGTCCTTGTTGATGTGTGAGGTCTGTCACATATGAGGATAGTGTTCCTGTTGTAATATAAACATTCACAAGAGATCCACGAAAATCTGAGTCGATGAGTATGTTTGTTTGTTTACGTGAGACTGTCTGTATCTAGGGCGGCATTTTGAGAATATTTTTATCGTTCTACCTTTTTTTTAGTTCCCTTTTTTTTTGTCTGCTTCCATTGTATTTGTAAGTTTTTCTAAAGCACCTGATAACGGCAAGTGTTACAGTTTAAATATCACTACATCTGTGTGGTTATATGCTGGGTATTTTAAAGTTCTCCCTGTCTCTTATTTCCATTTTCTATTTCTACTCTCTTGGTAAGTACGTCACATTATTGGTTACTTTTAATTTGTATTGTATTATGCTTTTTGTCATCTCATTTTTTTTTTACGGTAAGTTTACGATTTTCCAACTGTTGAGTCGAAGTAGTCTGTCGAGTGGTTTTACGTGGGTTCTTTTTTATCATAGTTACTCCCTTGGTAAGTTAATTCTAAGTTCAATCCTGTGTTATTCTTTTATGGTAAGTTATTCTTTTTTAATTGTTTTTGTGTGTTTTTTAAGTTTGTTTATGTTTTTCTTTCTCTGCATGTCATTTTCTTATGCATTTCCTTTCTTTTCTTCACTTCGCATGTCTGTTACGTGTGGACTCGTCTGGCCAATCACCGCTGATCACGTTTGTTATCCTGTGTTGTCCCCTTTTATCTCTTTATCCTGCATTATTGTCTCTTTTATTTCGTTCTCTTCTCAATAATTTCATATATTTTTGTGTATTTTCTCGGTTGTTATGCTTTATGTATTTGTATGTATGAAAATATTATCATTGTTATAATTTTATATGTATATGTATGACAATATTATCATTCACTTTGTTCAATGTTAAAAAATAAATAACTTTAAAATGTCGATATATGATTGGTTGGATGTGACGTCATGTGTGGTACAACCTATATGTGTGGTATGACTGTATGGTTCAACCCGTGTGTGTGGTATTGTATGGTACAACCCGCGTGTGGTATGACTGTATGGTACAACCCGCGTGTGTGGTATTGTGGTAACAGCAAACGGACCATCTTACCCACCAATGGGAGGACGCCACGTACACCACGCCCACCTTTTGTGACCATTGCGGCTCCATGATGCACGGCGTCAAGAACCAGGGCAAGAAGTGCAAGAGTGAGTACCTCCCTGCTCCCCACCACCACACTGTCTACTCCACCACCACATCTACTCCACGACCACATCTACTCCACCACCACATCTACTCCACGACCACATCTACTCCACCACCACATCTACTCCACGACCACATCTACTCCACCACCACATCTACTCCACCACCACATCTACTCCACCACCACACTGTCTATTCCACCACCACACTGTCTATTCCACCACCACACTGTCTATTCCACC